TTAAGCTTTAGGATTGCTAGAAGTAAAATGATAGATCAGTCCCTCTTGGATCAGGCATTGTTGGGGTGGTCCACCCTAGGGGTATCAATTATTGACCCAACCTGGAAAATTTGGGTTCGGGTCGACCCATTTAACAAACGGGTCAAGTTCGGGTTCCATTGTATGACCCATTTAAAATATTGGGCCGAGTCGGGTCAACTCAGTAACCCATATTTGACTTGGATTTGACCTGAGTTTTGGTTGGCCCACCTACCTTCCCCGCTTCCCGCACTCCGCTACATCCACTGCATCGCACTCGCACAAGAAGGGCAGCCGCGCTCGCATCGCCCTTGGCCCCGCGCTCACCCCACAGGCCCTCTCCACTGATCCGCAGTCGCAACCCTGCACACGCGCTCACACCCCGCAGGACCACAGAGCGCGCTCTCACTCCTGGCCCTTGCTCGCTAGGCCTCGTGTTCCAAACCCTAGCCCGTGTGGTCCGCACCATCGCTCACCTGTAGCTGCGTGCAACTCGGGTTGGCGGGTCGGGTCAATCCAGTTGTTGGGGAATATGAGGAGTAAACACCACAATGACGGAACAAGCAAGAAAGTAAAAGCAACAAAAAAGTAAAAGCCACCAGGATTTAATGTGGAAAAATGCAAAATACGAAAAAAAATCATGAAGTCACACCACACCAAAAAATTCACTATGAAAATTGGGAGAAATAAGTACAAATCTCTCTCTCTCTCTCCCTCTCTCTCTCTTTCTCTCCCTCTCTCTCTCTATCTATTTGCTTCTCTTCTCACATTCACAATTTTTAATGTCTACATAATCAAACTACAAGAGAAAACCAAGTAAAATAACCCCAAGGGACGCAACCCTTAAAAAAAAAAGAGAAAGAAACTGTTTAGTTTGTCTCGCAATGCTGCAGCACCAGTTTCAGGTGTTGCGGCGCTCAAACCTTTGTCTTGATTCGATGCGGCACCATATCTATACCGCTACAAATCTCTCTCTCTCTATCTCCTTGCTTCTCTTCTCACATTCACAATTTTTAATGTCTACATAATCAAACTACAAGAGAAAACCAAGTAAAATAACCCCAAGGGACGCAACCCTTAAAAAAAGAGAAAAAAACTGTTTAGTCTGTCTCGCAATGCTGCAGAACCAGTTTCAGGTGTTGCGGCGCTCAAACCTTTGTCTTGATTCGCTGCGGGCACATAATCTATACTGGTGTGATGCTCTGCTTCCGGGAAGTTGTAGAAAATAAATTCCCCCCCAAGCGAACACAAGTTTTGAGGTCCGAAATAATAGAATGACCGGGTTGATTAACACAATCAGATTCCACACATAACAATCTCCCACTTGGAACTGATTACAATCAAACCTTCTCCTGATATATAATACCAATCATAGTACCTGTAATGTGGCTCACCCTTGCTCTCATCCTCCATATAGACCAACTGAAGCTATACATGGCTTTAGTTTATCAACTGTCATCGTCTTCGTCAGCATGCATGTAGAATTCTCAGTCGTGTATATCTTCTCCAAAGATAACTGACCATCTTCCAAAAGTGACCTGATGAAATGATACCGAAGCTGGATGTGCTTCGTCTTGACATGAAATGCAGCATTCTTGGCTAGATGTATAGCACTCATGCTATCTATATGTAGCTTCCCATTCCTTGGCCCCTTGCCAAGCTCTGTCAACAACTTTACAACAAAATCATCTCTTTTGTAGCCTTAATGATAGCAATGTAATCTGCTTCTATGGTTGAGAGCACAATAATCTTCTATAACTTAGAAACTCAACTAACTGCAGTCTTTCCCAAAATAAAGATATAACATGTGCTTATTCTACCATCAAGATCTCCAGCAATATCAGAATCTACATAACCCTATAGATCAATCCTTGCACCACCAAAATAAAGAGCTTTGTCTATTAATCCTCTAAGGTATCTAAGAATCCACTTAACCGCCTCCCAATGAAGTTTGCATTGGTTACTCATAAATTTGCTGACAACTCCCACTGCATTTGCTAAATCAGGTCTTGTATAGATCATAGCATACATCAAGAATGTCCATGAGCATGGGAGTGCTCCAGGAGTTGGCTATTTCAATACCACTAATGTTAGATTGGGTGGTTATTTTGATACCACTAATATTGGATTGGGGGGCTATTATGGAAGAGAGAGTTCAAGACCAGGAGTTGAGGAGGATTAGGGTTGATCTGCTAAGGGATAAGAGTAGCCACCCTGGCTATTCCATAGAGGGGGAGAAACTATTGTACCATGAGAGATTTTTGTTGCCACAAAGCTCTGTCCATATAGATCAATCCCTGCACCACCAAAGTAAAGAGCTTTGTCTATTGATCCTCTCAGGTATCTAAGAATCCACTCAACCACCTCCCAATGAAGTTTGCATTAGTTACTCATAAATTTGCTGACAACTCCCACTACATATGCTAAATCAGATCTTGTACAGATCATAGCATACATCAAGCATGTCCATAAGCATGGGGGAGCTCCAGGAGTTAGCTATTTCAATATCACTAATGTTAGATTGGGTGATTATTTCGATACCACTAATATTGGATTGGGGGGCTATTATGGAAGAGAGAGTTCAAGACCAGGAGCTGAGGAGGATTAGGGTTGATCTGCTAAGGGATAAGAGTAGCCACCCTGGCTATTCCATAGAGGGGGAGACACTATTGAACCATGAGAGATTTTTGTTGCCACAAAGCTCAGTCAATATTCCTCACCTTTTGCAGGAGTTCCAGAAGAGTGTGATTGTGGGCATTCAGGAATGCAGAAGACATACAGGAGGTTGGCGGTGGACTTATATTGGAAGGGGATGCATAAGGATGTGGAGGAAATTGTGGCTAGATGCGAGGTGTGCCAGAGGAGAAAATACATGGCCATGGCTCCGGGAGGGTTATTGCAACCTCTAGCTCTTCTAGACAATGTGTGGGATAAGGTCATCATGGATTTTGGTGGTGGTGGATAAATTGAGCAAGTATGCTCATTTTATTCCTCTACCGCATCCATATATATAGTGTCAGTGGCAACAACATTCATCAGAGAGTTAGTCAGATTGCATGGGATACCATAATCGATGGTGTCTTATTGAGACAAGGTGTTCCTCGATCAAGTGTGGGGGAAATGTTAAGGATGCATAGGCCAATATTGAAAAGGAGTTCCGCTTACTACCTCTAGATAGACGGGTAGACAGAGGTGATAAACAAGAGCTTAGCGACTTGCTTGCGTTGTTTTATTTCAGAGACATCTCGACTTTGGACCAAGTGGCTAGCATGGGCGGAGTATTGATACAACACTTCATATCATTCAATTTCACAGATGACTCCTTTCAAAGTGTTGTATGGAAGGGACCCACCTCACTTGGTGTATTTTAGGTAGAGTAGCACACTAGTCTCATCGGTGGAGCAGTGCTTAGAGTAAGGGATATGATATTGGCTGAATTAAAAATGCATTTAATGAGGGCTCAACAAATCATGAAGAAGCAAACAGATGGGTACAAGAAAGACGTGTTGTTTGAGATAAGGGATAGGGTATACTTGAAGCTTCATCCCAATAGACAGTAACTAATAGGCCCCTATGAGATACTGGAGAGGATTAGAGTAGTGACTAATCGATTGAAGTTACCTCGACTGCTACTATACATTTGGTGTTCCATGTGTCCCAGTTGAGGAGAGCTCTTGGTGATCATGCATCTAGTTTAGAGTTAGTTGTGATACTTATAGAGAAGATTTAGAGGTGGTGTTGGAAACATTGGAGTTGGAAGGGGTACATCATAGAAAGGTAGGGATCAAGGAAGTGCTTATAAAATGGATGAACCTTTCCTTATGTCTTTTATAATAAAATCTCAAAAGCAGAACTCCTAAACAAACAATTTAAAATTACTTTCAAGTATTAATAAACACTTTTAAAAATATTAGTCAAACATATCTCATTATTGAAACTCTATTTTATTGAACGGCTTTTTCTCAACCTCCTTTTCTAAAACTCCTTTTTATGTAAGCATAAACCGAATCAAACGAAGCCTAATTCAAAGGGAGGGGGCAGCTAGGAGGGAAATTCAAATTGGGAGGGTTGTTTTGGGTATTTATTGGATATTGCATGCTTTAAGTAGTTTTATGAAACTAAGAGTTGGATTATGTGAGATTTGGCTGAAATTAATATTCCTAAGGGTGAGAGGGCTCTAGCGAGGTAACTAGGATTTTGAGAGAGCGGTATCTTCCTCTCAAATTAAAGATCTAATGTATATTGTTTGTTTTCTTCTGTATATCATCAATTAAAATTGTTATTCCTCGTAGTTCTTCTTATGGATAGCTTTTGAGATTTGCTGAAATTAAAATTCAACTAAAGGTTTATTTTATTTCTAGAAGCACTTCATGTCAGAATCTTAGATATTATATCAATTCACTAAAAAAAGATGAGATGGTCTATTAACTTATATGTATCAAATCTTTGCTTAAGATAGTTAAGGTTAACATCTAATTAATTAATATTATGTAGTAACTGTAATACAAATGATATTGAATAGAATACATTAAACTAACTACAAGTTAAGCTATAGTAAGTACTGTGATTAAGATAAACTTAAGGTTTACATACGGATCGATTCATTAAGCTAACTATGAACATTTAATTATGTAATTGACTAATTAGATACCAAGTAATATGTGGGATTAGGTTACTTTTTGTGAAGATAATAACTTAAATACATAAAAAAGAACCTGCGCTCAAGAAAATGCAATGTTTGAGCTTTTTTAGAAAAATAAAAATAAAACTCCAAAGAATACAAATCAGAAATAGCAGGAAAGAAAAAATCATTCAGGACATCCAAATCAGCACAATATTTAGGCAGAATTCTTTTGCATGATTATCTATAATATAAATATTCATAAGGCGTTCTAACCGCAAATTTTGTAAAAAAACCTACATATTTAAACATACTTAACACAACATCAGACAAGACTACAGAATCATCTTTGAATGATTACCTAAGTTATTAAGTTCCAGCTAGTTATACATCTCTCATTCCATGTGCCGAAGGCAGTCGCATCAGCTGGCCAAGCATGACGCTGCAAGTGGAAGAATAGGGAGTAAAAAACCAAACGACAGTTCACAGTATATAGAAAAGCTAGAGCTAATCCTTTTACCTCTTAATATAGTAGTAGCAAAAATCAGCCAAGATCAGTGTCTGAACCAGTTCAGCGACGAGGACTGCCGGGGTCCAGAAGACCGCAGATGATGAACCAGTGAGGAATGATCCGCCAGTATCAATAACCTATCAATCATATAATCATACACAAAATTGCTGTTAGCCTACCATAAAAATCATAAGCTCTGATCTATTGTTTATTGGATTTATTATTCTGTGCGGAGTCTGGAAAGCGTCCGGAGATCAATAAAATTGCGCCACGTCACCCCAAAAAAATACCGCGCTCAGTACCGAGAGCTTAACCGGACGGGAGAACCATCCGGTGTCCGCACATAATAAAAGCTCTGTCTATTGATATTCAATAAAACCACATTTATTGAAGGCGTATGATAATAAAAGGCCACAAAAGCTCTGAATTGAAGTTAAGAAGAAAAAGGGCGACGGAGCTATAGATATGTATGCTTTTCAACAAGAAATGAAAACAAAGATTGAGATTTGACACCACAGAATTGATGTGGTGATCGTCGGAAGAATCGGACCTACTTGAAGGAAATTCTCAATCCAGGGAACAAAGTCAAGAACTAAGCTTCAAAAATTTCAAAGAAAATATTTTTTCATCAATCCCTTATAACTGTCAACATCATAAAGAGGTGAGATTCTGAGAATGATATGCTGACGAGGATGACAATAAACTCCTATAGTCAACATAGTATACTATAGAATTAGATCTTCCAGCTTATCCGAGAAATTCAATTAGATAAGGAAAATTGAAAACAATAACAACCCATATAAAAATTGCTTAGCTATTAGCAGATAGCATTATGGAATATTCACCACATAAACAAAGAAAAGATAGAATGTACCTTAATTATCCAATGGGCAGAATTTAAGAATCTAGCAACACCCAGTGCAAATACATAATGGGCTGTAAAAGGTTCCACCATCTGCAAAAGATACCATTGTTTCTAAATTCACGTATTATCAAACGCATTAAAATAGCCATCAAGTACAAAGATACAAGCAAACCTTTGCATTTTGCATCAATCGGAGTTGAGGAAGCACAGACACAGATTCTAGGTACACAGAAAAAGCCCAAAGGAATCTACTGTGGTGCTTGTATAAGAAAGGATGGACAAGTATGGCAAGAACAATAGATGGAACCAACTGCAAGGAAACACTAACACATAAACCATTTAAAATTTAACGGTTGTAGATTGAATATTTGCATAAGGCATCCCACAAATGTAAATTGGAAGAAAGTATTTCTAATGGCAAGCCATTGGATTATATAAATCTTTGGCTTCGTTTGGAATAATTTTCTTACTGCTTTTAAAAGTAACTTTTTAGTACAAAAATTTCTTTTAACTAAAAATTTTTATACTAATAAGCTGCTTTAAAAAGCATTAAGAAAGTTGTCTCAAACCAAGCCTTTTATCTCCTAATTTTTTCCTCCATAAACAATGATATTGAATGACAATTCCTAAGAGAACAGGTAAACAAGTACTGGAGGAAGCTTATCAATATGAGGAACATGTTAGGAAATGACAAGAGATAAGATAGTTACATCAAATAGAACTACCACAAACACAAAATGCAAAAGACTAGAAATTTATAACAACTTATGGAAGTATATGATTTTACCAAATAGTATCTTGGCATATTGTCGAGTTCCTTAGTGTAGCTGGAATTCAACTTGAATCTCATCATGTATATAACCCAAAGCGTTGAAAATAAAGTCAGGAGATCAAGGACAGTATGAATGTCCTTTTCAATGATTACACTGCAATAAAACCTCACAGCCAAGAATATTGCTGTAAGCTCTTGAGACTTCAACGAAAGACCTACAAAACAGTGAAGAAGATAATAAATATTTCAAAATTGTGACATGTAGCTTAAAAAAAAGACTACTATCATAGAATAAAAAAAAAACGATGCAGATCTTCCTTTTTATAATAGAATTTTATAGAAATCAATACTAGATATCCAAAGATAGGGAGAGGAGAACAGTCTTTGTGGTCAAAGATGATTCATGCTAAATATAGAAACCATAAAAGAGGAGACTATATGGAACAAGATAACGAAAATTTGGGGAGAGGTATTTAGGTCAGAGAAGAGCAATATCCAATTCGATTAGTATTTCGGCCGCAGATAATCTGCCATAATATATTCCGAATAAAACCATGATTATGGGCGAAAGCTAACAATCACAGAGCATTTGAAACATAGAGGTGCCACCGTATCCATTTCTAAAAAACAAGATTTTCTCACAATCAATTCCTCTCAAATAGCCATCCATCAATTAGAAATCCAGAATCACATGAACCCAAATCAACGAATTAAACCGTAAGCGGCAAGCCCTTTCCAGCCATATCAAATCCCAACAATAACAACAAGTCAATAGCAACAAATTTCACCATCACAATTCACAACACAAGAACTTTGTTCGCCCTAGCAAACTAAAGTAAACAAAGAAAGGGGAAAGAAAAGATGATCACCAGAGCATGTCTTGTGGTTAGTGAGCTTGTATATGAGGACGATGATGCCCGCGGAGTGCACGACCTCCGAAGCGACGAAGAAGTGATTGTGGTTGCGGACGAACGCCCACAGCGCGGCAAGGACAATGAAGGCCGCCAAAGCTCCGAGCGCCGTCTTTGCCTTCACTGATTGACCTCGTACCCAGGCGTACACCGCCCCCACCGGACCCTTCGCGCCCCTCCGCCGTCCCATCGACGAAGAGAGAGAGAGAGAGAGAGAGAGAGAGAGGAGGGAGTCTCCGTCGGAGACTCACAAATGGGGAGTTATGTTATGGGAACGCAATAAAACCATGGAAGAACTGGCGGGCGTTTAACGCCCTTGCCCGTCAAATACGCTAATAGGCGGGTTTACATAGATGCCTCATAATTTTTATATATTTACATATTTTAATATTTGAAATTTAAACTTACTCATATAATTAAAAACTTAAAATATAAATATTAAAATAATGTAGAATTTCTTAATTTTCTAAGGAAATTGGTGGGCGGTTTTAGCAGTGGAATAACGTTTGGGGTGGATCATTTAATCAAATAGCTTTGTAAAGTGTATTAATTAAAATAATATTTGTTGCACAAACAATCCATTCAGTGATATCGTCTTACGCAGCTCACATTGATATGTTGATTTGGAGTTTTATCTATCAATTAAGAGATCTTGAGTTTGAGTATTGGATAACAAAAGTTATCTTGCATTTTTTTGGACACTGTTGCAGGTTTGCAGCTTTAATATATATTAAAAAAGATGTTTTACTTTTTCTGGTGGATAAAACAACTGTAGCTTTAATATTATAATTTTGAAAACTATTGCAATGTAGGCTATAGGTACAGCTTTAACATTTTTCTTAAACTTACAACAACTTTTCTTTTAAGATTTAAATTTAATAAAAATATTAATTATTTAAATTTAAAAAAGCCCAAAAATTATTCTAGCCATCTCATGAGCCGAGCCTCATAAAGCTCGAACTCAACTCGTGAGCTCGATACGCTCGGCTCGTGAGCCCATAAATAAGCCGTGCTTGAGTCAGTTCGCGAGCTAGCTCAGCTCACTTACACCCCTAAGCCAACCTCACGTAATAAGATAAAAACATATTATTGTTGTTGTTGTAATATTTTGATGCGAAACTCAACAAAATGTACTTCAAAGCCCATTGATTTATGATTTCACCCTTGAATGGGATATTTGTAATTTCAAAAATATTCTTGAGCTGAAATGACATATGAGTATTGTTCAATCATGATTAGCAACATTAATATTGCAAATTACAAGTAATTATACCTAATTAATACTCTAACATACTAATTATAATACCAATTTTAACTTATTATTATTTTTTCATTCTAATAATTACAAAACTTATGTTAATTAGCATCAAAAGATATAAAATATTGTAGTCAAATGTGGTGGATGAGATTTGCTTTGTGCTTTTCTAAGGTTTGGACAAGTGGCTAGATAGGGTTAATTATTGATTAGTTGGTCACTAATTGGTCTCCATTGTCATGGTTGGGAAGAGATTGGACAACTACCTACTTAATCTAACTGTTTGACAACAATTAAGCACATAGTTTAAAGCATGACTCATATTTTTATTAAGTATTTTTTATAAATTAAAGAATTATTTGCAATTTTAGAGCATAATTTTTTTGTTTTTCTATAACTCTAAAGAATTTTCTTAGATGATATGTCTTTATTATGTATATTTAAAAAGATTCTTCTCTCTTATCATTGTTTTTATATAAATAAATTATAAATTCTAGTAAATATATGTAAAAAAAAAATTAAAATTTCACAAAAGCTTAATTAAAGGTTATCAAATCTATGAAATTATCTTAGGTAAAAACCCTTCATTTAATCGCTTAGGATTCCACATGACTCATTTTAAGGGGAAAGATATCGCTAGACCTAATCCCCATAATTTCTTTGGATGTTTTGTGGTTGGATGGCAAGGCTTAGGGTTGTTATATTTTGTTTACGGACTATGATGAGGTAGGTTTTTTGTATTCCTCTCTGGAAGGCCATGGCTTGTTTTGACAACTTTGGTGGATCATTATTATGTGTATTCAAGGATGGATTTTGTATTTGGGTTTTCTCACAAATGCTTATTTCCTCCAACGGATGATCTTAGCCTGGTAATCGGGTGATGATTCTGAGTTCGGCACTTCAGATTTTTTATCTTTTCCAGCTTATTTTGCTTTTTTTGGGTTATGTGGCTTCCCTTAAGCTTTGTAATTTTTCTTTTTTGATTGTGCTTGCCTTTTGGTTGTATGTCCATTTTATCTTTGAATAAATTTTGTTTTGGTTTTAAAAAAAATAAAAATTAAAATAAATAAAAAATTACCAAATACTAAAAAAAGTAGGGTAATCAACTTAGTCTTCATTTGGGACAATTTACTTATTGCTTTTTTAAAATAATTTTTTAGTACAAAAATTAATAGCTAAAAGAATTTTTTGTGCTAAAATATTGTTTTAAAAAATAGTAAGAAATTATCACAAACAAAACCTAAGTTTTCATTATTCACACACAAGCCTTTTTAATCCAAGTACTTGTCTTTCTTTGGACAGCTAATTTAACTACCCATAAAGCACTAATTAGTTACTTATAAGATTTTTAGTTTACATTAGAATTATAATTTTATATTAAGCAAAATTAAAATATAAAATGTAACAAAGTCTAATCATTAGATTATATAAAATGTTTTTTTTTCTTTTGAATCTATAAATATATTTGTAATCATAAACTCAAAGTCTAATTAAACTAACTACCCTCAAAATGTCTAGAGACTATTTATATATTCACATCTCTCAACATTTACTCTCATTTAACTGAGAAATTCTTACTTGTGTTCACTGGACGTCATTCGGAGGAACAATTATTACGTCCTCTGACCGGACGTAGAGCTACGTTCGGCCGCCAATAACATGTCGCCACGTGCTCTCACTCTTTACCGCGCGGCCCGACGACTTGACCCGGAGCGGAACCCGGGAATGCTATGTTCGCGATTTTCTCGGTATTGCTCGGTATTTGCGAGGTACTGCTTTGCAAAAATGAGAAATACCGCTCTGTGAAGACCAATACCATGCAAATACCGAGTTGTACCGAATTTTTTTACAACTCGGTACAACTCAATATTTGCTCAGGATTTGCTCGGTATTGCTAGGTATTTGCTCGATATTGCTAGAAAAAACTCGGTACAACTTGGTATTTGCTTGGTATTGCTAAGTATTTGCTCGGTATTGATTATTGCCGAGCAAAATCGACCAATACATAGCAATATTGAGCAATATCGAGCAATCTTAGGTCCGTTCCGGGTTGGGTTGTCGGGGCACGCGGTAAATAATGAAAACGCGTGGCGCGATTCTACTGGCGGCCGAACGTAGAGTTGCTTACGTTCACCGGACCAAATAAAAGTTTTATTCGGAGGCCAATTAGGACGCGCTATGTCGCAAATTTACTGTATTATTATTATTTATTGGATGAAGTGGTGCATCCTGATTGGCCTTCGGATGATCCAATAACCGCACGTAATAATTTCTCCCTTCAAATAACAACTAATCCAAATGACTAGTGCAAGTCTTCTTAAATAAATATGTGAAAACACTTGCTTATAAGTTATAATACAATTTTTCTCTTATCTAAATTTCTTCTCTGTCACGATCTTATCATAAAATTCAACTATTTATACACTCCATCTTAAATTTTCATCTAAATTAATATTAATGTGCGTATCATTTTCTTATAAAAAAAATGTTGTTCATATTATGAAAAATCTAAATATTATATAAAATCATTGTTTTATTTATTTATTTATTTTTTTGTCATTCCTTGGGTCTAACATTTCTTTTTAGTTGTTTATGCTTCTTGTTATTCAATGAATATGGCTCCTAAAAAAAATTCTTTTTTCATTTTAAATGATGATGATGTTTATGCACTTTTTTTTCTCCTTGAAAAAATAATAGAAATATTTATAAAATAAAAAAAATTTACAACCAAATTTTGAATATGTAAAAAAAAATTCAAAGAATGAATGACCGTGTTAGATGTAACTTGAGTTTTCATATCAAGAATGGATCACATCAATGTTCTTGTTAAAGATTGGGGTTGATATTCTAACAAATCATAATAATTTAATTAATTTGGTAGCTATGAAATATAAATTTTTTTGGTATTAGATATATAAATAGCATGAAATAAAGTGGCATGTATGTAAATCCCATAATTTGAATAATTTATCCTAATTTTCTTAAAGTGCGTGACATATATTCCGACTTGCAATCAAAAGAGAGAGAGAGAGAGTTAATGGATAGATGCTAATAGGTTAGTGATTTAACTATTAAGTTAATGGGTTATCACTAATCTTTAACAATTCTTCATAATATAGTCAAGCACATTCTAATTTTCAAGTAGGTTTATTATCTATATATTTCAATTTTTAGCACCATCCAAAAAAAACTTGTGCTAATAGAGAGCACATTCATTTAATTACATAAAATGTACTATAGTTTAGAGGAGAATTAGCAATCAAAGTAACTAGTAAATTAAATCTAAGAGCCACAAAAATATGATTAGAGGGAGATCAAACAAAATAAGGGCGGGCAAAGTTGTATCTCATGATTGATGAGGGCCTTCTAAATGAGGTGTGTACAAAATGACTAAGTCATCATAATTCACCTATAATAGCAAAAGTTAGAGGGTAAAGAAGCTTTTCACCAACCCATCATAATTCAAATAGCTTTTCCAAAGATAACCAACATATTCAATGAATGTAAATAGGAAAACTAAAATTAGGGAACATAAAGACATCCCAAAAAAACTCAAAGTAATATATTAAATTTTATATTAAAATTTTATTTTAAAAAGTAGTAAGAAAATCATACCAAATAATAAGTCTTTAGTTTGTGTTAGTTGGCCTAAATGTCCTAGTAAAAAAAATATAAATTTCTTCACTATAGGGTTTGCCTTTCATTTGCTCTATTTCTACTTTGCTGTTCAGCTTTGTTGTTTCGTGTGAGGTAGAGTTTTGTACAAGTCGGTTCTTCGACACCTTCGTTATTGTTCGAACACTGCAACGAGTCGTTTATTTAACGACGTTCCCTTCTCGTCGGATCAGAAGTCACGACATTTCGACGACGTAATTCCTATTGGAGCAGAAGTAACGACAGGAGCTCGCTCGTTGTGAAGGTAACTATCTTTCTCCCTTTTGCATGCTTCTTCAGCCGTGAGTTATGGTAAAAAGGGGAAAGGGAGGGTTTATTCCGCCGTGTGATTTCCCGGGTGCTCAAATCCCGTTTGGCAGGATTTAACATAAAAATCCTGCTCAAATCTTGCATGAGTTCTGCATAAATCATGTTGCCAAATAGTCCCTTCGTCTTCCACCCCCTTCTGCTCCTACGTAAATTCGTGAAACCATCGACATCAATTAAAGTAGCGAAGAAGTCACAGCGTGAGCTTGCAGGGGAGAGACATCGGCGGGACCAACGGCGTGCGAAGGAGAAGTGGAGTTAGGCTTCGTTTTTTTTTTGGGTGCTTTTGTAAAAGATAATTTAAAAAAAAAATATTAGTTCAGAAAATGGAGTTTTCTAATGAAAAAGCATATATAAAAAGCTTTTTCAAAACCGCTGAAAAATGAAAAAAAGAGTTATTGAGAACGTGATTTGATGAACCAAACAACAAAAAAGAAATAAATTTGTCGTTTTAAAATGGAATAAACATAAAAAAACTTCTAATCAAATGAAGTCAAACGAGTTAATTCGGAATTTAAGGTACGACGGGGGAGAAACGAGATTTAAAAATTTGTATGATCGTTTTTATTACTTGGCAATATTTGAATTAGGCCTTTCTTATATTATGCTCAAAACCTACAACCAAAAAACTCTTTTATTTCTCTTTGAGACCGGTCCTCCTTGCGCTGCCTAATCTGTTGAGTGGGCACGAATCTCGAAGCAAAATTAAGTTTGTAACTTCAAAAATTAGATTAGCGACCATGTGTACTCCAACTTCAGCAAACTTATAGTTGAACTGAATCTCTCAGAAATACGAACACAATAACACCAAATTCGACTCAATCCGAGCCCAAATGAGTTTAAATCAAGGACCAGAAGAGCATTTGGAAGGTTCAATCCATAATTGGATTACCAAACAATTTCCAAACGTGACATGCTTATAGTGACATTACTAAGAGATTTGACATTTATTTCTAGAAAAATTAAAGTACAATAATAGGAGTTTAAATAAAATATAATAAAACTTTTTTAATAATAATTAATATTCTAATACTATTTAATTAATTATTTATAATATTTTATAATAATTATTTCCATTCAAAATAATATTTAATCCAATTAATTATTTTGAAATAACTAAGTATTTAACTAATAATTTTATTAATTATTTAAATATAATTTAAATAGTTTTACTTAATTATTAATATTTTAAAATATATTAATTAAGTTTTCGAACAAATAAGTTAGCGGAGTTTAGGTTTTGGCTCTCCTTCTCTATTTCGTTCGGCTTCGTTCCTTCCTTCGCGTGACTGTAGAGTTTTGCAGGAGTTCTTCTTCGTCGCTGTTCGACTTCGCTCCTTCGACGACGTTCCCTTCCTGTTGGATTGAAAGTTACGACATTTTTTGATCGGAAGCAACAACGGGAGCTCGCTTGCTGTGAAGGTAACTTTCTCCCTTTCGCGCGCTTCTTCTGCCAAATCCCGTAAATCCGCCGAACCAAAAGATTTCTTAAATCCGGGATTTACCACGAAAAGAGGAAATTTTCCGTCAACCGCCGCTTTGATTTACCGTGAGATTTGGTTTTGAATTTTTGGCCTTTTGGCTGGATTTAGCTCAAATCCGCTTCAAATCCGGCCTAAATCCAGCATCCAAACAGCCCCGTAGTGCTGCGAAGTCAAAACGACGAATAAACGAAAACAGTTAAATATTGCATTTAAAAGATACTTAGGGGCTGTTTGGCAACAAGTAGGATTTATTTAGCGGGATTTAGTAAATCCTGTAAATTCGGATTTACAAACTGTTTGGTAACATACTTCAGGATTTATAATAGTTAGGGATTTAAATGTGAAGAAACAATGCTGAATTACATCAATAAGTTAGTTATAAATTCAAGATAAGTGCATACAACATAATAAATCCAAGATGAGTTCATACAATAGAACTGAAAAATCAATAAATAGTACATGATAAATTAATGCTGATCAGGGCACATATGAACTACTAATTGACAGTACGTTTCAATATCCAAGAGGATTTGATATATCTTGTATGAGAGATAAATTTTGTCACAACGATCAATTTCTTTGGCTAGATATCTGAAATTAGAAAATCATAAAGTTATTATAAAATATAATTTATATTGAAACTTAAACATTATACTTAGCCCAATTTTTTTCTTTCTTGATTAATATATGTTATTGATGCACTCTAATCAGAATCTGACCACATTTTTCAAAATATACTGACAATCACTAGATACAACAACAACTTGTCATGTATCCTTTCGACTGTTCTAGATTCTTTTGTTTTTAGAACATGTCCATGGATGAAGATGAACTATTGAGGAAGACGAATCACAAAGGAAGACGCCTGCTGGAGGAAGGAGCCAAGCAATCGTAAAGGAAGACAAATCAGAGAGGCTAAGGCGGCGAATGAGAGTGATGCTTACCCGTCATTGCGGCGGATAAGGGCATTCACAACTACTCCACGACACGGGCACCTTGGGTGATAGTTCTCGTGATCATAAATCCCGTTAAATCCATTGAATCGAGGGATTTACTAAATCCCGGATTTACGTCATTAATCTATAAATCCGGGATTTAACGAGGATTTGGATTTATGGAGCGCTCGAAAACCATTTAGCATGATTTACCGTAAATCCGAGCGTAAATTTGATACCAAACAGTCTCTTAGACAATTTTTAGGTTGCCTAAACTCCAGGTATAGAGGGGTTGAAGGGATTTGGGCAATTGAGGGATGCCCACAACTCCATATAGTTTTGAGGGTGGAAAGGGAGTCGATTTTCTTCTTATATTTTTGGTTGCCCCATGTCCAAAAGGGGAGTGCATTTATGCGCTTCTCATGATTCCTTAAACTCTTATTAATGACCTGATGAGAACTATTTTTGAACTATTAAGATGAACACTAACCCACTAACTCGCCCATTACATGTATTATAACATGTAGCCTTATTCTAAAATCATATTCTTACTCTCTCTAAGCTAGTCCTTAGCAAACATGCTCGTAGTTTTTAGGGTTTGGGAATTTTTTTGTGTTAATATATGAAAAAGATTGGCTTTGGCAATCATCATTTCGTGCATTGTTCTTGTAGTTTTTATAGCCTTTTGATACAAACCCATTGCTTATTGGGATGATAAATATTGAAAGCATTTCTTTCATTGAATTTCTTCAATCAACCAATCTGATTATTTTTTAATTAATAATATACTAATTTTTGCTGAGTTTTGCTTATGTAGTTTCTATAATGTTGATATATTTGGATTTTGCACCTTTAAGGTATCATTTCTAAACTATATAGATTGCTCATTTATGGGCTATTTATGGCTTGTTTGATTAGCCAACATGCTACTTGATAGTTTTGTTCATTTATACATTCAATCAATGCTCATTTATTTGATCAATAAGTTGTTCAATAATAGTTAAATAATCACATATCGACTCACGTATATTTGAATCAATATTTTGCCTAGCTCATGTAGGGTTTTAGCAAATGAGGATGATATCCAGCCGGATCTTGCTCAGCACTTGGAATTTGTTTGCTCGCCTATATCCCCATTTCTAAATGTATCTCTTTTCCAATCTTTTTGGGAGAACCAATCTCGAGTTGCCTGCCTTAGTTGACCATCCAAACAAATTCCAAGTGGTTGCCTTAGCTTATTGCTTTTTACACAATTTCTAACCATATTTTCCTTTTGATATATCTATGATTTGTAACCAATAGAATAAGTGAAGCTATAGGCGACATTTATAGGTGGAAAGTTATAGAGTCCAACGTAATCAAGGTGCATGGTCTGTTATTGGAACCTAAGAACCTCATCCAACAACCTTATGCAACATTATATAAGGCAATTCTTGTTAACCATGCGAAACATTGAGATAATCATGATTTGAGAAGGCTTGAGAATGCACCCTTATGAGCAAGAAAAGGAAGGAGAAGCAAAGCTTCTCATACTTCATTTGATTGTCTTATTCTCTTTTTCTCTCACTCTATTCCACCATCAACATGTAATCACGATCTCTATTCTTGATCCAACCTGCCCGAAGTATTTTTATGGCTAGATTAATATGTAACTTGTGGACATTCAAACTTGGTATATCTACAGATGAGATATTAAACCTATTTACACAATATTTTACATATTTAGTTGCTTATACTTTGATATTAATTTAATATACTCATCATATTGGTGCATATTCTACCCTTCCATGTACATGCCCATACCCTACGTCTATTAATCCTATATTGAGTTCAATAGATGCTATTCTAATAGCCTTGCTAGCATAATCATGTCGCATTATACTCTATTAGTTTTACAAAATATCTAACTTAATATTCTTTTTTCAACTGCACGCTTTAGTTTATCAATGACCTATTTACTACCAACATTCATATTCAAGTGACATAGCTGGTTCATTTACTATTTTGTAAGAGTTACCTTTGAGTTTTCGATTTTTTTTTTTTTATCGTGTAGCACTTCTAAAGCACTTCTAATGCCCTTCTTCTTGTTATCCATTCACTTTAAATCTAGAAGTTGTACCTTAAAATATTTCTTAGGCCGAGCATACATTTCAATATAACTAAGACATATTTTAGTGTAGAAAATATTTTAAGGTAGTAACTAGTATGAGTTTAGCATTTGTCCTTGTATTGCAAACCGAGGCAGTTTTATCTCCCGCCTTTTGGGCCATTCCTGAAGCTAATGGCATATCACTTCTTAGCATAAGCTTTTGTCTTAGATCACCATTCGATACCTTACATGTTTTTATGTCTCCCTTAGGGTACACTGGTACCTTAACACATTTTTTGTGAAATGCATGTTTGCTCCCTTAGGGTAATCTGGTACTTTGGCACACAATTCAGTGCATTGCATGTTTTCTATTCCCGTTTAGTATGCTAGTGCCTCAGCATGTATTTAATGCGAAGCATGCTTTTGTTTCCCTCAAGGTGCAACATTACTTTAGCATGTGTTTTGGTGTGATGCGAGTATTTTCTCCCCTTTAGAGTGCACCGATGCCTTAGTCATGTCTAGTGCAATGTGTTTTCTTAAACTGAATAATTTTGTAGCAACTTATTGGAGTAGAGTTTTGTTGGAGCATGGCCTTGGTGCCAGATTTGAAGTTTTGAGTGTGTGGAGCCTTTGCTCCGGAATGTGAGGCGATGAACTTATCCAATCATACTAATTTGAGGCCTTGGCAGTTCTTAACTTACTGATTATGCGAATTCATTTGGATATGTTCTCTTTCTCGTTTATAATTCACTGGCAATGTTTTCTTCTTCAACTTGCTAGCTAGCAATATGGGTGCAAAGGCAAAGAAGTCATTAAAAAAGAAACTCACTAAAGCATCACAATTAGCTGCCGCTCGTCGTGCAAAGGAACAATCTTCGGATTTCCTGGTACGTTTCCATGTTATGATATTTGCTTTGCCAATCTAACATTTTAATTAACTTATTGGAGTGTGACAACCTTTTCTTACTCGGTTACCTGATTTTAACAGCCTTTGGAAGGGGCGCAGGCTACCAAACTTCCTAAAGAAGAAGAGGAGAATAAGGCTACTGTTCTATATATTGGTCATATACCTCATGGATTTTATGAGGAGCAAATGGAAGGTGAGGCAAAAAACTTTGTGAAGGCTTTTTTTGGATTTGCACTTTAATACTGTGTTCTTCTGTTTCATGCTGGAATATTACAGGCTTTTTCAAGCAATTTGGCAAGGTGAAGAGATTGAGGATTGCTAGGAACAGAAAGGTAGTTTTTGTATACATTTTTAGCGTTATTGTTGTTGTATTTAGATTTTGTTATCTTTAATAGGTTATCAATCATAAGCTTCAGCTTCTTTATAGCTATGCTTCTTTAGAATACATTCATTATATTATTGATGTGTAGTGTCAAAGCATCTTGAGTTTTTAAAGAATATTGGCTTTTCTATGGTTGTTTTGGCAAAAAGTGATTCTACCCTTCATTTTGTAATGGGATACATGCAAGACATAGGATACGCCTTATGCTGAGATGGGATTTATGGTTTGTAATTGCTTATTCCTTCTTTGGAGGGGTGGATGGATAAGGAAAAGACTACTTATATAATGGATATTGTGTGGTTTGCATGGCTATCAAAGAGTGCATTTATCTGGGTAAACTAATTTTTTGAGATGGAATGGATTCTTGCTGTGTTAGAAATTCTTTTTGTTAGTGCAGTTTACTTGATAGCATTTTTTTGAAAGGCATTTTGAAGTTTGCTGTGCTTTATTTAGTTGCATTTAGTAGTCATCATGGATATAATAAGTTAATTCTCCAAAAAAATTTGGCAGATGGGGTTGATTTTACCATTATGTCTATTAAACTTATGTTGCCGGACAGGTTCAACTACTCTACAATTAATAGCTGCTTTGAAGGGTTGATCTTAAATAGAGAAAAGAAGTAGATCCTTGCATACTCAATGCAAAGAATAGGACAGCCTTAGCTTGCTAATGGTAGAATCTAAAGTGCATACTTCTGTCAGATGATTTTTTTTTGGGGGTTTTTACATACTTAACACTTAAAACTTTTCTATTTACTTATTTAACACATAAACCTTACTATTTACTTTTCTACCACCTAAAAACCTTATCCCTCATCAAATATAGCACTCCGTTTCTCTCCCGTCAAAATCAAAACTCCCAAAGCTGTATTTCTGAGACGTCTGCTTCGCCTCATTCTTACTCGGCCTCGAAACTCCCTCCACCACGACCTCCGGCGAAATCGCTTTAGTGATCCTGCAATGACCTGAACTAGCCGGTTCAAACCTCCTGCTCGATATCACGCGCAGCATCTCAGAATCAAGACTGATCAAATTGGTTGAATTGAGATCGCTCCACCGGCTCCGAAAACGACTTGGGAAACGAGTATCCGGTGCTTGAAGTTGTATTGCGGCGCCGCCTGCTTGCTGAAGGCGGCCAATTTCAGCCTCTTCGCCCAACAAAAGCTGGAACTGGGGCCGCCGGTTGGGGAGCGCTCGTGCTCGATGTTGAGACCGGAATCGATGCCCTCTTCCACGATTTCGGCTGCGGGCAGGCCCGTCAGGTCGCAGAGGCAACGTGAACTGGCGAAGTATTTGAAGAAAGCCATGTCGTGATATCTAGCGACGAAGAAGAAGGTTTTGTATCTAGGTTTGTTGTTACGAGCGGCTTATAATCAATTAAAAAGGGTGTTGGAGGTGGCTTTTATCTGCTTGTGGTTGCTTCATACGTTTGATGTTCTTCTGAGATGGCTGCTTCCTTATTTATTTACAGAAATGTCGATTAAACGATTAAAAGAAATGTCGATTCAGATGGAGCTTCGCACGAAATGTCGACTGTGTCGGAGAAGACGATGGGATTCAAACGCAAAAAGGGAGCTGCTCTGTTCGAATGTATTCGCACAAGCTGGAGAAGGCGATTCCGGCGCGGAATATAGCTTTTGGGGTTTGATTTTGACGGGAGAGAAACGGAGTGTTATATTTGATGAGGGATAAGGCTTTTGGGTGGTAGAAAAGTAAATAGTAAGGTTTAGGTGTTAGATAAGTAAATAGAAAAGTTTTTAAGTGTTAGCTATGTAAAAACCCCCTTTTTTTTAATTGTCAGATGATTTAGTTTATGAGTAATGCAATTTTTTATGGGAGAGGGGGAATATGTAAATTATGTTATTTAGAATTAGACTGTTTGTTTGGCAGGATATTATAAAGAAGGTGATTTCTAAGATAGTGGTAAAAAGTAAACAATATTTATGTAGTTTTTAATGATATTGAGCAGGTCTATGATCAAGGACCTTGAGAATTAATTTATTGTACGATAAGGAAAAAAATGTGATAGCACATGTCCATATATATTTTTGTTGTATATACATACATATTCTTGTTAATTCATATTTCATTTATGCCATTCTATGGTGCATAGACATGGACACGATGACATGGACACCACAAGGATACGAACACTGAACACTTAATTATTAAAAATATAGGACGCTAATACACGTCGGACACAATATTATAATATAGAAATTGAATAATTAAAATATTAAAAATAAGAAAAAAATAATAAGTCATTTAACTAGGATTTAATTTATGCTTAAAATGATTAATACTAGGATATTGAGAGTTGGGCATTGATGTCATGTGTTAAGCATTGAGAGGAGAGACGACAATATTTATGAGAGCAGGGCATTGATGTTGTGCTGTGGGCATCGATCGTTGATGTTGAGACAACATCAATTGTCAATTTTGAGACGACATTGGATAAATATGAGACGTAGAGATGGAATAGGAGCGTGATTGTAGGTGTAGAAATAGCTGGTGTCAAGTGTCAATGTCAAGACAACGTTATACTTTGTATATTGGATAGTTTTAAAATGTTGATGTTGTGATAGTGTCGGACATTGATATTGAGATTGGATCAAGCATTGTTGTGAAATTCTAACTAGGACCTATATAAGAGAAATGAAAATGGGGATATTTAGAGAATTGAGTATGGAGCAAGGGTGGTTGATTTGGCGTTGTGAAAAGGAAATAAAAATTAATTTTTATTTTTTTAATAAATAAAAATTTGAAATATAATAAATTATATTTTAAAAATAATAAAATATTTAATACACGCATGTCGGACACGCGTTCCCAAATTATTTCAAGTATATTTTTTTTAATCGGACATGTCTTTGACGTGTTGGACGTGTCTTGTACGATATGTGTTGGACACTGCATAGAAGTGTCAATGCATCATAGATGCTATTATATTGATCAATTCCTTTCGTGTTTTATTTAAATGTTATTTTCTTCATATTTATCATGTTGGCGTCGAAATTTATATTGACAACTGGGGTTTTGATGTTTGTTATGTTGATGTTTTTTTAAGACAACTTTTGATTAAATCAAATGCATTTTTGGAGCTCTACAATTAATAGCTGATTTGTATAGTTGATTTTGAACATGACAGACGTAGATTCTTGCATAATAAACAGACAATTCACAGGTTCATCTTGTCTTGCTATGAGTAGAATCCAAAGTGCATGTTCGTTTTAATTATTAGTAATTCAGTTTGTGAAGCATACAATGTTATTATGGGAGTATGGGAGCGAGGCAATGAAATATAGAAAATATGCTATCTAGAACCAAATTGTTTTTTTAAATCTTCTATTTACATAATATTAGAATGGAGGCAGTTTTTGTTAATGCAGTTGATAAAAACTATAGAATGCAAAGAAAGGATTTCTATGTTGTTTTTAACGATATTGATTGAGAAGGCATATGATCAAGTGTCTTGAGAATTGATTAGATGTTTATTGGGGAAAAGAAAAGTGTGGGAGAGCACATGCCAATATATATTTTCTTTATATATGTATACATATTCTAGGTAGTTCATGTGGTTTGTGACCATTATATTGGCCATCTCCTTTTGTTTCTATTAAATGTGATTTTCTTCATATTATCGTTTGGCATAGAAATTGAGTTTGACAAATGGAATCTAGATGGTTGTTATGTTGAAGTTTTTCTTTTGGGCACTTCTTATTAGAACATGTGCATTTTTGGAGCTCCATTCACTCCCACATTTTCCTACGCATGTTAAGTTTTATTTTATTTCCTTCTTTCTATCTGTTTTGTTGTAGGAAAATCAATCCATAAAAAGTGAGAGTTTGGATAAAAACCTGGATAGCTTTTTAGCATAAAAAATATTAGCAACTTTAAAAAATTCTGGAAAAATAAGAAAAACACGAGCCATGCCAAGCATTAATTTTCTTGATTGATCTTATTTATGATTTTCCATAGTAGATAGTTCTTTGGTTCTTTCCTTCACTTATTATTATTATTATTATTATTATTTATTCTGTTGCACTTATCCATTATAGAAATGTGCTTGTTAGACAGTTTCATAAACATAAGTTTAGAAGAACAGGAAATTAGTAGAACTAAGGCTATATGTATGAATGTTATTCAAAAGGATTTGTGAAGAATGGATTTTACACTGAAAACAACATTGATCTCGAATACTTGGTATTAGGCTAATGATGATGATGAGTGCTCCATATACCATATGTAATTGATTTGTTCTTTCATAGCAAACTCTAACATCATCTTTTTTACTTCCAGACTGGAAAATCAAAGCATTATGGTTTCCTTGAATTTGAAAACCCAGCGGTACACTTTTGTTTGTTACATTTTTAAGTTTTTTCACTACTTGAGTTTTTTTTTTTCAAAATTTTTTTACGTAGTAACAATAATATTTGCTGTAAAGCAGGTGGCTAAGGTTGTGGCTGATGAGATTCATAACTATCTACTGTTTGAGCACAACCTTCAAATTGATCTGATTCCTTCAGAAAAAATTCACCCAAAATTGTAAGTATACTCTATTCCAAGTGCTTCTGATCAGCAATTTGTTACCAGGAACATAGTGGATATATGGTGTATATGAGTTTATAAGAACACAAAAATTGGAAATTTTCCTTATTATGTTGAAATGGCTTATATTTAATTCAACTACATTTATGATTTATCTTTCCTGTCATTGTGTGGTTACTCCAGTGGTATTGCTTCTTTCCTCCTAAGGGTTTGTCTAGGGTTCAATTCTTACCGAAATAATTCTTCTTAACATGTTGTCACTTGTTTCGTTTTTATCCATTCTGAACTATATGAACATGGTATTTATCATCAAACTCAAGTTCATTGTGTCAGCAAAATTCCATTCGCGATTGTTTTAGTTTAATTTTGTAAATTATTTTTCAATGCTCATCAGAATGTTTAAAATTACTTTACACAATTGGGGAGTTGCAATGGTAGATATCAATTCTTGATGGCTTGATGCACATTTTCCCCTGTTTATTTGACCAAGTGGCAGGGAATTGGCATTACTAATGGCTTGAGAACTTCTTCGTTATGGACTCTGTGGGTATGTTTGGTTTGCAATATACTACAGTTGCTGTTGATTGTTTTTTTTTTTTTTCGATATTTCTTATAACCAATTATAAAGATATACTAATGCTCATGTATTGAGGATGGAAACCATCTGCCAGTTATCATTTTAGACGGGAAGAAAGATGATAGATCAGACACTTGCCATCTAGTAAGCAAAGATGACCATTCGAAAAGACTATTTAAATCAACATGAAATACTAACTTCCATAGAATTGACAGGATCCACCCATGTCAAGATGAGATGGGGGAAAACATAAATGATATAAGCAAGAATCTACTACAGAGGTAGAAGATGCACAACGTGAATAAATAGGATTATGGCGTATGGATAAGAAAATTAATATAACAAAATGTAAAATAATTTGAAGTTGTATCCTATGATTTTATCAAAGGGTTCTTTTGGCTGCTTGTTTGTAGAGATAAATCATGTTTTGTAAAGTGATGTTTTTGTTTTCACTCATTTTTAGTGTGGAATTGAAATCACAGCATTTGAGCTGCATGAAGAGAGAGAGAGAGAGAGAGAGAGAGAGAGAGAGAGAGAGAGAGAGAGAGAGAGAGACTGATTTGGATGCCAGGTGTATTTCATTGAAGACTTTACACTCCTATTTCTACAACAAGATTCAAAGTTACTCTAGGTAATTTTTATATATGGAAAAAATTAATTACATAGTGATTAATTGATCACATATTAAATTCCTGGGACAAAATTTACAAGTATTAACTAGATTTCTATGCATGCACCTATGAAAAAGGGTAGCTATAGTGCATTTTGTAACCTTTATTCCACTTGATCCCAAACGGGATTTTCACCCTTAAAAATCCCACAAATTAGTACCATCAAGTTTGGATCATAAGAGGTGGCAACACTCCTCAATCTATAGTGTAGAAATTCTCCATGTATAATTTGAAGATGATATTTTGTAATATAGAGCTTGATGGTCTTTTGGTTGTCATGTCAGCCAATTGCTTGTGTGTTTGAACACATTTGATACATATTATTTCACTTTCTATTTTTTCTTTGATGAAGTGTCTATCGTCTTTTATGTGTTTGGTTTGTTCATATTTGATTAGGTTGTATGCGATGTTGATAGTTTGTGTTGTTGTCACAATATAACTTCATAGTATATTCTCATATTATTCCATAGTCATTTAGGATGATTTTGATTCAAAATAATTCACAAGTTTCTTTGGTCATTGCTCGAAATCTAGCTTCAACATTGATGATTATTGATTGCTTCTCCAAGTAATTAGATTCTCGCTAGGAAGGTGCAATAATCACTTGTAGATATTTGTCTATCAGGGATCGGATCAGATTGTAAACTTTCTCTAGAGATTTAATAATTTTATAGCTATGATTCATGCTCTTCGTTGCGTGTGAGGAGGAAATTTCACCTTCCAGGGGTGTGGACATATGTCTGGCATATAAATTAGTCTATCCCATTGATTTTTCATATAAGGAAACACCAAAGAACCATTATCTCTCTCTCTCTCTCTCATTTAATAAAAAAGAATTTCAATTCTAATCTTCTATGTTTAATTTCATTTAAAGCAGGATCCAAATTATTTGCAGAATAAAATCAAATTCCATAATTCGATATCACAAATGTAATGCATTATTCATAATGAAGGCAAGAAGGAATAAATCAATAAATTAATCATTCTTAAAAAACGATTAATTTTGTGTACATTAAGCAGATATATTTTGATAATTGTAAATGAACAGTTGATATTTTTTTCTCAAAATTCAAAAATAAAATATTTTGAAAAAAAAATTGAAATTTTATTTTAAGTTTTGAATTACATAAAATATTTTTGAAGAATTAAACAGTTAGAACGAATCACATATAACTCTGCGGTTATTAGTTTATTGTACATGTTAGTGGATGTGCACCCTCTGTATTAATTCTTCACGATCTAACTTATGACGTGAAAAGCAAAAAAAAAAAAAAAAGGAACTATGTCAAAGTTGGCCAAGCTGAATAAGACACTTTGACTAAGTTAGTAATAGAGATGAAATCCCAGTTCTCAATTTCTAGCTACACAGTGAGGAAGAATCATGGAAATCAAACTCTGCACTTCTACTTCTTCCTCCAAATTCTAATTGCTTTTTCCCCCAAGTTCAAATCCAATTTAGCACCAGTGGTAGACTGAAATCAAATTCATGGAAGCTGGAGTTGACGACGCTTCCGATGGTGCCTTCATAGTGACACCGCTTTTGTCCACCAAGAGCATGAGTGGTGGGAAAACATTTTTTGGCAAAATTGAGCATTGGTGGCCTGCTGAAGGGGAACCCGCAGAGGGGCCGTCTTCGGTTGCAGTAGTGGGGGTGGATTTGCGGTGGCTAGTTTTGTAGCTGTCTGTGGGCTTGGTTGGATTTGTGGGATTGATTTGGTGGAGGGGATTGTGAGTCGGAGAGCATGAGGATACCTTTTTCAAAATTGCTTTGTGGTATTTAAGAGTTTTATATGCATTTTGTTAAGTTGTTTCTCTAGGATTATGCATGAAAACATTTATAACATAGGTCATACTGATCTTTTGTCTAAAAGGTAGATAATATTTCTAAACAATCTTTGGTTCCTCTCTTTAGCAAAATTTCAGTCATCGTCTACCTTTCCAACTTTATGATTAGTTGGGGATTCTGAGGCTTACATCTCATGATACATATTTTGTTTAATGAATTTAGGATGTATTTTTGTTGGGAGATGAATATCTCAGCCCTTGAGTGGCCACTTAAATTCCAAGAATCACCTCCTATTATTATTTTTTGATAGTTGATCTTTCACTTTCCCTTTTTTTAAAGAATCACCTCCTATTATAATCATATCATCTACATAAACTATTAGAATTGTAGATTTTCCCTCTCTTGATGTATTTATGAATAGTTTAATATTTGAGATTTTATTTAAAGTTAATTATTTTTATGCCTTTGGCAAACGCGTTCCAAACCATGCTTTTAGGGATTATTTGAGCCCATATAGAGTTTTCTTTAAGTTACATATACTATTAGTATTGAAATATTGATTAAAATCTAGTGAAGGTTCCATATAGGCTTCTTCTTCTAGTTCGTCTTATAGGAATGCATTTTTTCGTCTAATTACTGTTAAGTGTTAATTGAGATTGGTTGCCCAAGATAGAATATTTTGATGGATTTTAACTTTGTAAATGAAATATGTTTATCCATAATCTACCGAGAAAAGGACCAAAATGGTTTTTTAATTCTTTAGGAGGCGTCATGGCCATTTTGAGGGACCCTTTTTGTCCCTTAACTCTTTAAAATGGGATCATTTTGGTCCTACCATTAAAAATTAACAGAAAAAATTAGAGCAATTTGGATGGTCGAAGGATTGAGTTTTGCCTTTTGTAATGATACCAAAAGGGCAGTTTGGCCACCTGCATATAACCTTACATCATTTATCATTCTTTATAAAGTTAACTGTTTTTCCTGTTAAAATTGACTAATTCTTAACTGTTTCTTTGAACTCCTCTTTACCACTAAATAGCATGCCAATTTCAATATAGTTACCAGAGGAATATGTCATTGGATTGAAAGCTGGCTATTTCCAATTTTTATCTTCATCAGTGCCATGTAAGCTAGTGTCATCATCTAAGTTCACACAATCACTATCATACGTTTCCCTTTTAAAAAATTTAGTAGGATTTTCTTCAATATGTTCAATGATTTGTTTTACTCCATAGGTTTGAGTGTTGACTTTTGTAATGAGTCTAGTTTTATATCTTTTGAGCCCAATTGAATCCAATTAATTTCTTTTCTTTGTAGATTCTATTGCCTTCCAAGTTTGATTTTCTTTTAAGGATTTCATTTTTATAATCATATTTTTTCCTTTATTTATTCTCATTTACTTGTATAATTCTTGGAATTTTGATATTGTTTATCTTAGTGAGGAAAATTTTGTTGGAGGAGGAAAGGTTGGAAAGGAAACTAAAGTTGGCTATTTGATGATAGATGCTTGTTTCTGCACCCCCTAAAAAATAGGAAGGTTTATCTCATGTTGTGTTCATATTTCAGGGGCAGAATTCATATCTTCATTTCATGGTAATCAATCTTGCATAGATTCATTCATATGTTGGTTTAGTCTTGAACTCTTTAATTTTTCTTGAGTTTACCTATAACATTGTTTTAGGTTCATTATGTAGGATTTTGTTATGATTATTGTCTTAGGGGGCCACATCTATCTATAGGGAAATCTTAGGATTACTTGATCTTATGTGGTTTGGTTGGCTACTTAGTAGATCAATGTTTAAAAAATTAAATTTATTTTCAGTCCAAGGTTCCCTTGAAGACAATTTTAGTCATAGGTTTTGTGATTTTCAACAAATGCAACATCACAGGAGATGAAATTTTTTTTGGAGTTGGGATAGTAACACTTAAATCCTTTTTGAGTCACGGAGTAAGTATCCAAGGAATGTGCATTTTAATTTTCTTGGATCAACTATAGTGTTTTGATGGACATAAATAACACTCTCAAAGGTTTGTAGTGGAAGCTGGGAGTGATTTATGTCAGAAAAACTCTATATTATTTCAATTGGTGTTTTGTTTTGTAAATTTACACTGTGAAATTAAGAATTTGGTTTTTAAGTTAGCTTCAGCGGAATAATATTTTGAAACTTTCTTCTCAAAGAATAGGGCCTTAGTGGTCTCAAGGAGATGATACATTTCTTTAGTGCAACCTCATTTTGATATGTGGTACTGACATCAGAGAATTTATGGATGGTATATTTTACTTGAAAAGATGATAAGAATTGATTAAAGTATTCATTCCCATTATCAAACCTTGTACATTTAATATTTTTGCCGATTTGGGTAATGATCATTTTAGGTGAAGATGATTTGGATTATATTGGCATCAAATTTATTTCTCATGAGGAAAGTTCTAGTTGAGCGTGAGCAATTGTCTATGAGAGTAACATAGCATATGATCTCATTTATATTAGTGATACGAGATGGTCACCATATATTAATATGGATTGGGTTGAAATGCATGAAAACTTTTGAGTAACATAGGGGTAATTTATTCTATGGTGTTTGGCCATGTAACACATTTCACATAGTATACTAAAAGACTGATGACTCGGCTAAATACGGTGGAGCCAAATGTTTGCCAAGATACCGAGCGATGTGATTACTACTTGTATCCAATAGTAGAGTTCTTGTTCCTCAGCATGCCCAATCATCTTTCTTGAGATTTAATCTTGGCATAGACAATTAGTAGGGTAAAACACTACAGTGCAATTTAGGTTGGATGCTAGGTTTGAATATATAATAGACTCATGAATACTTTAGGCATGTGGTGAACATATGATAATGGAAGGGAATGTGTGAGTTTGGTAGATCCCTTCTTAGAAATAACATTTAGGGTTCCATCATCTACTTTTATTTTTTGGTTTCCTTGCCATAGTATATATAGAAGGAGAATTTGGTTGAAGAGTTGTTTATATGACATGTTGAATTGGAGTCTATTGTTTATATTTTGTTTGAATTATTTTCAAAAGCAAATGAGAGCTATGAAGTAGAATACCTTACTGATTGAGCATTAAATCATTCACATATTTGTTTATCCAATGCTGTTTATAAGGTATGAAGTCTTTCTATTTCTTCTTACTTTAGCACTTCCATCCATGCAACAAATTTTCCTTACGTAGAAGCACTGTTGGTTTGATGGTGTATGGATTGTCTTTAGTATGAGGGCCTATTCTTGTTCCATGGAGGCTATTCTTGGAGTTTCTAACATATGCCTCTATATTTTATATTTTTTATAATAATTGTAATACAAGCCTTCTCAATTATTGGACTTTGGTGTGCCTGATTTGGATACTTATGGCTAAATGATGCATGCATTTGGTGTAGGCCCAACAATTAGGGCAACTCTCTCACTAACGAGTGGTGCTTCTAACATAACAGAATGTTTACCTTATTGCTTTTAATAGTGGAAAGGATTTTGTTAATGATGGGGAGAGTGTCTTTTCCAAGTATTTGGATATGTATTTGGTCATGTTCATCATTCAATCTAGGTAGGAATTCATAAATTCTTTTGCCTTCTATAAAAGCTCATATCATAGAATCTTCTTTGCACCTCATTTTAATTCATTGTTAGTAATTAATTTCCAGCCATTAGTTTTGTTATAATTTGGTAGGTAAAAGAGTATCTTATTTGGTGATGTGAGTTTTTATCTTTATATCATAGGCTAAGACGACCCAAATAACATTTGAATATGTTTACTTCATTGGAACCCAAATATCTTTGGTTGTGGTTAGGATCATGTAGGTTATTTGGCTTCAGGTATCTTTGAATTCCATAGCCATACTACAATTGAGAAATCTTCTACATCCCATGCAAGGAAATTGATATCATCATCATCTGTTATTTGGTCAATAAGGTGCCCGCACCCCCCCCCCCCCCCGCCCCCCCCCCCCTCCTCCCCAAACTTTTCTTTTTACTTGAGAAAAGGTTTGCATAATCAAATTGACCAAACAAGGTAATTGCTTCCATTCAATTTGAATGAAGATTGAATGTTTTGTTGCTCACCCATTATGGCTTGGTTAAAACCATTTGGCTGGTCAACTGCTTATGATATAGAAGACATTCTTCTTGAAAAAAGAAAAAAAAATTATATATATTGCTGATTCACAGTGAAAGCCATGTGTGTTTATTGGAGACTCTTCAATCCTACTTGATGGTGGCTACTGGCATTGGTTCTTGAACCTGGTGGTGAGGTCAGAATGTAGGAAGCAGTTGGCGGCATTTTTCCCTGGACCGGGAACCTAATGCTGAAAAATTTTTTACGGGTAAAAGAATAATTGAACAAACATTGAAAGAGATAGTACCCAAAGTTTCACAAGCGGTTGAGTATTTATTCCATAAAGGCTTATTCGACCCAATCAAACCACGTAATCATTTGAAACGTTTTCTGAATGAGTTATTTCAGCTACATTGTTTCCTTCTCTTGAATTCAAGATTAAAAAAAGATTAAAATTCTTCAGCTGTGGAGATTTTTGCTGGAAAGTGGATTGCTGTAGTGAATACATTTGCCAAAAGGAGGGTTGCTGTGTGGACATAGCTCCTGCTATGCAAAATAGTTTCTAGGCGCTGCAAGTTCAATAAATTTCATCATTTTTGAAAACGAATTTTGTAACTTCAAACAAACATATGGGCCCTAAAGAGAGTTGCTAGGTCATGTAGTACTAAATATTAATGAAACGGAGCAGGTTTCGTAAAGTTGACTTTTTAATTTTTATGAAGTTGACTTATACCAATACAACATTTAGATGTGTTGGGATAACTTCAACGTGTATTTTTATGAAGGTGTTACCTCTATTATTTTGGAGGGAAATTATTTTTAATTTATGATGCACTGACATGGTGTGGAGATGGGTATAAAACAGTCTTAGAGAATAAGAATATAATAACCCTGGTTCAGAAAGTTGGATATTGTTCAACAGTGGGGGAGAGAATACATTAGTATTGAGGTAGAGATAATGCTGGTGATTGAACTTACAGTAATAGTTTGCTTTGAACCTGATTGAACTTACAATAATAGTTTGCTTTGAACCTGCTTGTATTTTCTTAAAATAACCATCCTAGATCACTGTGACTATTGTGTCCTTGGCAGACACTTCGAAGTATTGCTTATTTTTGGGCTGGCATCTCCGAAAGGCTTGCTAATGCTGGATACCTTAGAGTCTAGAATTTATGAGGTGGAAAAATTATGTAGAAAACAATGAAGCAATCATGAAAATTTTGTTTAGACAAAAGTATAGACCATTAAATCTTGAAGCAACTACTTAAGACCTTTGATGGTAAAATTCAATTATAATGAAATATTTATGGTCTTCTAGTAGAATTAACAACTTGTTCGTTTGGGACAGTTTTCTTGCTGCTTTCTAAAATAACTTTTTAGTATAAAAATTTATACTAAAAAGCCGTTTTCAAAAACAATAAAGAAGCTGTCCCAAATAAAGCCTAAGTTTCATAAAGCCCGGCACAATGTTGAAACTTCATTCATCTGAAAGTGATGCAAATTGTAGCTGATTGATAGAACTTACTGGAATCTGAAGATTTCACATCCATTTTAAAATTAAATTAACCATAGATTGCTATGACATATCTCAGAATACTCTTATTTATAGATGCAAAACATCCTAACTTCCTAGTTTATTTATAGATGCAAGACATCCAAAATCCTCAAATTGAAACAATGGAGGAGGTACTATGTGAAAATAGCTCTTCTGTGAACAAAAGTCTATTGGACCCTCGATAAGGTAGTCCCAGGAATAAAATGTCGTATATATAAGCACTAGCTAACTGCAGTTGAAATAATCTTCTAGAATATAGGAAAAGAGCACTACATGACAGTCCTGGGATGGTAGGCAGATTCTTTTCACCCATGCAAAAAGTTCTGGTAGAGTAAGGTTGCTCAATGTTACGAGTGGACCGGTCCCCTCTGGACCGGTCCGATGCTACT